TGATTAGAATGACTGCAGTTTATCTTCGAGGCACTGATTACCCATTAAATAATTTTCAAACCTTTGACTTTATTGTTAGAGTCAGCGAATTAGGATATCGCCGCCACTGGGTCGACGATACCACGTCTGCCCTGTTAGAGTCAGCGAATTAGGATATCGCCGCCACTGGGGTCAACAATACCACGTCTACCCTTCCTCCATGGTCTACCCGTTTCAGTGTCCAGAACCAGGAGAGCGCCAAGAGCGGGGACTCGACTTTCGACCACCGAACGCTATGAAGTGATAGGCAATATGCCGTTAAAAACATTCTTTATTTTGTTCCTTAATTAATTACATTACAAACATTGTTTACGAGATATTCAATAAAACATTATAAAACCATGTTAACACGTGTTTTATGAAGTGGCTATACAGGATGTTATAGTATATAGGGTGATAAATCATTTTAAAACAATATTTTAAAGTTAATTCTTTTAACTTCTAACATTATCATTTTTTTATGTACCTATTTTTTAGTCTATTATGTTATTGTTTTAGCCTTGATTATATTATTATTATTATACTAAAATCCGACAACCGGGGGTTGGTAATTAATTTAAATAATTCTTATATATTACATATTATATTCAAATTTTATTTCGAATTCAAACACCATCCCAGCGTATCCCGCCTCGAAGGCGCCGTTTTATTACTTCTAGGAAAAAACGTCGACTGTGAGATTATCACGGCCACTAGCTAAAAAACACATGTGCATCAAAAGGGCTATATTCAGGAATTAATACAGGGCTTTATAGTCTTTATACACCAAAGCCACAGTCGGTCTCTCTCTGATACATTTACTTATATGGGAAATTTAAGTATAAATACCCGGGTTTTTGTGGGCTGGGGGAACATTAGCTTTTTCTTCTTCGCCGAGTCGAGTTAACAAAAAGCGCAAATATCCATGTTACCGTTACGGTGGCTCCTTTTTCTTTATATTCTTCAAATATAATTAAAAAGAGATATCGCTACCCTTACGGTGGCCGCGTTTTTGTTATATTTTGACAACGGAAATAAAAGATATCGACGGAGTAGAGAAATTATTTTCTATAAACGACGGCTTCTGCATAGATATCCAGTTATCCTTAGGATGACCACCTTTTTCTTATATTCTAGATATAAGTAAAAGGAGATATATAGTCAGTTTGACCAAGCAGATACACGTTGAGTAGAAACAGATTTCGCTCCTAGAACTGTTTTGTAAGGTTGTATCTAACGAGCGACTAAAATATTGGCGTAACTAATACTGGTGATACCTCGCTAGCCTAGTTAAACGCCAGATATTTTGTATCTCCGGTTCAACATTATAAAATGTTACTAAATGATTAAAAGTACTACTCTATAGGCGACGTTCGTAGTGGATTTCGTCACCCTTCTGGCTTCTGACACTTTTATCAGCGGTATACTTTTCTTTCTGTAAGGTTTCTTTTACGTAGAATTAAAACGATAATCGCACTATTAAAGTAATCAAACTAGTAATTAATATTCAGATATTCCGGGGGAGAATTTAGACAAACATTAATAGGTCACAGGTATTACTTTATTACTTTTATATTCATTAGCGGGAGAATTCGCGTCTGTGTGTTATTGTCATATTTTTGGTATTCATTGGTAAACGTTCATTGTGGGAAAAATTATAGGGTTTTTATATTGTGCTAAATTATGTTATTTAGAGAATCAATAGTGATGTTGTTGTCATCAATATTAATTGTTCTAAAGTCGGTCAATGTTCTCCAGTAATAAATTAAGTCAATTAGATTTATGGCCAAAGGGCCGAATAGGCCTTTTCATCACATTTTTTTTTGTGCGCATGCGTCAGTATCAGCCATCTTTTTCGTACTGTTTTTTGTAAACAAGCATGTTAAAATGTCCACGTGAAAAAAATTATAATCGATAAATATTAATTTTAAGTTAAAAAAAGTAAAGTAATGTGACGGCCCGCCCCCAGGCCCCCTCTCTTTTTGATTTGTTCTTCTTGTATTTTACTTTACTCTCTTTGAAATATTATTAATTACCTCACAAGTTTTACTTTACTTTAAATTCTATACTTACTGTAATTGGCCTTTTTTCCTCTAGTAGTAGAAGTGATCGTCTAGTTAATTAATTGATAATTTATGTACCCACGTTGTGATAATGTTAATTAAAGTAAACCAGAATTTGATGCAAAGTTTGGTGCAAATTGATAAATAAAACATACAAAATTTATATTTAAACTCTTTACTTTAAATGTGATGCAATAATTAGCAAAGTATATTACAATTGTTACTTTTTACTGAGATCTTACTTGAGTCCCGTTTAAACGCAGACCATATTCATTTGCTATCAATACATATTCTATTTAGGTTGATGACCAACAGAGTTAACGAACAGCGTCAATTCGCCAGTTGATTAACTATAGTGTTGTTGTTTATATTCTTATTTAGGTTGATGACCAAAGAGTTAACAAACAGCGCCAATTCGCCAGTTGATTAACTATTGAGTTGATGTTGATTTGATTCTATTGTAGATATATACAGGTTGCACCCTCTTAGGTAAATATTACGATGAGTATAGAGGTGATGACCAACGGAAGTAACAAACAGCGCCAATTCGCCAGTTGATTACCTTACTATGTTGATTTCACATATACTTTGTTTCAAACCTTGTAGAACGGGTTGCTTAGCGTATAGGTGTCCCCCCTTTAGCTAACGAACAGCGTATTCGCCAGTTGGTTAACTTACTATTAAATTTTACCATCTTGGTTTGTACAATTTATCCAAGATAGCACAACCCTGTATATTTCCAAAATATTGATTTTTATAATTTCTATTGAAAGGCTTAATACAACCCTGTATATGTTTTAATATTGATTATTATGATTTCTATTGAAGTAACTTAATTCAACCCTGTATATTGATTTTTATAATTTCTATTAAAGTAACTTAATTCAACCCTGTATATTGATTTTTATAATTTCTATTAAAGTACTCAAAATTTCACCCATCCAAAACAGATATATTTATATATATATATATATATATATATATATTTTACAGCAAATGTCAAGCCTGCCCTTAAACAAAACCGGGGTGGTATCTCAAAGAAAGATACGTAAATCTTTTGACTCACCATTGAAAATACAGACATTAGATTAGGTACTAATTTCATCTAGCGTTGTGGCGGCGTCTATTTAGGGGCGTCGTAGGGTTGATCGTCGAGACTCCTAGCGTCGTGGTGGAAAAGACAGATACACGGTAGAATTATGTAGGTGGTGCGGGACGTGATTTTATGAAGGAAATATTTGGGGACGGCAAGCGTCGGAAATAAGGCGTGGGACGTTGAGCGTCGAAATGAATGTACGGTAGGAAATACTTAGATGGTGAGGAATGTGACAGCGTTCGAGACGTAGGGAGTAGGATGGCAGGACGTTGGGCGTCGAGACGGTGACACCTTCGGAGATAGGAGGTATTGTAGGATAGACGTCGTTTAGGAAGAGCGTTTTAGGAAAGGTACAGACTATATAAATGGATACTGGCAATAAGGTGATTGCTTTGAATGTAAAATAACAAAATGTATACTTGTACATCAAATGACAAAAATTGAATGAATCTGAGCTCATTTGGGTATCGCTTTTTATACGCAGTTTAATCGTTTCTGTGACGTCTCTATCGTTTTGCTTCTCATAGAAAATACGAATGTAGGTGCAAAAGGGGGTGGGTTATTTATTACTTGCCTTGAAAGTTTTATGTATCGAAATATTGTCGATATCGGTCTGAACATCGAAACTAAAAAAATAAGCGAGATAAGTATTTCAACGATAATTACTTTCCTTTGTTCTTCCTCCAGTACAGCTACATTGAACTCTAAACGTAATTCTGGGGGTTTTAACATCACTTCGTGGGTATTAATTTTGAAAAAAAAATCTGATTAAAAATAGGTGGTTAAGATGGGTTGATATTAAAAAAAAATCCTAAATCAAAAACGAAAAGCGATAACAACATGAAATTGTTAGCGAACATCAAGCCTCAAGAGAAGAAGCCCTTTGATTTTGAAAAAAAAATCTGATTAAAAATGGGGGCTTAAGGGGGATTGAAAAAAATCATAAATTAAAAATGAAAAGCGAAATCAACATGAAATTTTTAGTAAAAATCAAGCTCTATAAGGAGATGATGCTTATTGATTGTGAAAAAAAATTGAATAAAAGTAGGGGGTTGAGGGAGGTTGAAATATTTAAAAAAATTCAAACTCGAAAACGAACAATAATATCAACTTGATTTTTTTGAAAAAAGTCAAGCTCAATAAGGGGATAGAGCCTATTGATTCTGAAAAAAATCTGATTGAAAATGGGAGTTAAGGGTGGTTTTTTAAACTGTGAAGAGTATAATTTAGAATGCTACGCATTATATATCTTCATTCTAATTTATATCTGGGTAATGTTATGTATTGTGATGGGACTGATCTGATAAAATAAACATTTTAGTTCACTTGGTATTTAAAAAATATATTATTTTATTTGACATGCGTGATAAATTGTGAAAATTATTAAATTTAAAATAACCGAAAAGCGGTAGGTAAATTTTCATATAATATTTTTTACACAACAATCAATGTCAAGCTTTGTACATAACATGATATGAGGCCGTCAGAAGCAGAATGGCCTAAACCCAAAAAGATAGTTTTGAGATAAATTGAAAAGAAAATTTGTATAATTTTTATGTGTATTTTGTTCTGAAATCTGTCCAGTGTAGAGTATTGTTATTGATTAAAATATTAATAACATAAATACTTATTATCTCCATGAATTTTTTTTTGAAATTGGCTTGTAATTAAGAAAAAAAATGTGGGATAGGCCGTTTTGTCTTCGAGAAATTTTTACCAAAAATTTTAGGCCAAGTTTAAAATAAGGTAATAATTGCAAAAAGTAGCACCCAAAATATTTTATTGGTCCCAAAAACAACTAATGTAACAAAATAAAGTTTACTTTACTGGCCCAGATTCTCCTCGTTTTCATCATCCAAAATAATGAAGTCTTCCGATGGATTTTCTGTTGTTTTCAAACCTTCATAAAAATTATGAAAAATCGGGGGAATGTAGTTGCATAGCTCTAGCAGATCTTTTTTCTTTTTTGCATCTATTTGGTGACTATTTGGATACAATAACTCCAAGGGTCTATTCAATTGTGCAGGTTTTCGTTTTGCTATATCCACAACCATGAAGTGCACCAGCTCATTATTGGAGTATTTAAAGTATATTTTAAAAGGGTGCTCTATCTTAAACTGCAGCCACTGCATTTTAAGCCACTCAACTTTTTCATGTTCTGTTGTCCAATGTCTATTAGTAATTTGGGTTTTTAATGTGTTTGTAGAAAAAAAGTCATTACTGGTCATAGCCACAATATTAAATGGCTTTTTTTTTCTGGCATCTTTAATTACAGCAGTCCAGTCTTGAGGAAGGAATATGTTTTTGTGAAGCTTTTTCTTTTTTTCGATTAAACCAAAGTCTTGGTCGCAAGGCAGAAAAGTGTGGCCACTTACCAAAAACTTATGATCGATTTGATTGACTGTAAAGCCTGGAGAACTTACAATGTAGTTACAGATAAGCGCGAGTTTTATATTGCGGTTTTGTCCTCCACATTGGTCAGAATACATAATTAATTTTTTTGACCTCACGTAATGTTCGACATAGTGCAAAAGACATGATCCAATTTCATCTGGACCTCTGGAAGCGATGGATTCATCCCACAAATACATGTGGACTTCATCTGTTGCCAAGTTATGTATTCCTAAACAGTATGTCCATAGTTGCCTCTTATAGTAAGCGACTCCTGTGGACAACAGTGGAGTTGGCAAAGTTTTCATTAAATCGAAAGCTATAATAGTAATATTTTTATCAGCTTTTGCTAATTCCGCATCTGCTGTCATTCCATCTCTTGCACTATCTGCTTTCCGAAGATGTAACTCATGTTCAGTTTGCTTCTCTTGTTTATCAATCTCATTGTCCATGGCATCAATTTTAATTTTAAATGAATCACATTTTTTACAGGAATCTGTAATTGGAGCATGAAAACAAAGATTAAATTCTTGATTGAAAACATTTGAAAAAACATACTGTGATACAGCTTCAACAACTTCATTTTTGTACATGTTATAAATTTTTCCCAAACTAAGATCTGGAGCTAAATATTTTCTGTTTGGATTTTTTTTCCTTGAATAATGTGATTGATATGCAGGAAATTTATTGATAAAATCCTTAACTTCAGCGATTTTCAACTCACTGGTTTTATTTGGTGGTGCATGTTTACCACGTTTATCACTTGGAGGTGGTAGGCCAGAAACTTTGGTTTTTAAAATTCTAGTGAGTCTACCATCAGAAATTTTAAAAACTTTTTTGAAGAAATCTTTACATACCTTCACTTTGCCTCCATTTTCACATGTTAAATGGTATAATCTTGTGTTTGATCTCCTAGATGGATTGTTGTCCTTTTTGTAGCTTCTCTGCTTTGTTGCAACATCTATTAAACCATATACGTATGCTGTTTGTAAGTTATAACTTTCAAAGTTATAGAAATGTTCAAATAAAGTTCGCTGGCGGTCAGCATTTATTTTATCGCTGCATTTGTCGGAACATGAACAAACTATTTCTTGATAGGTTTTAGGCTGAACTAATCTGCCCGTGGAATTCACATATTCTTCTCCTTTTAAACGTTTCGATTTCGCTTCTTTTCTCTTCCAATGAGTCTCATGCCGTAGACGTTTTTTTGGTTTAACAGGATTATTTTCCTCGACATCTGTATTTTCATCTTCATCCGCTGAAAATAAATAGTAGTATACATGAAAAGAACCAAAAAATTAAGGTTTATTATACACTACCGCTGTCTACTGCCTCCTGAGTTGTAGATTCATCTCCACTAATATTCTCAGCTTCCGAAAGATCACTAGGTATGTATTCAGAGCCTGAATCTTCGTAGGGTTCGTCAATATCTAAAAAAATAACCTTTTTTTCCACCATCACATACAAATAGAAAAACAAATTTAAACATTAAATAAATATCTTACCAGTATTATTGGCCGAACTATCCATATTAATTTTTTTGTTACTAAAAATAGTTTAACGATCTTTTAGATAAACACACCCAAATAGAACGACTCACTTTTTGCAACTGTTTACGATTTGTTTATGGTGCCTGTGGGTTAGGCCGATTTACCCTTACAGTAATAAATAATATTCACGAAGCCAAAACGTAACCTATGGCGGCATCTATGAAATAGTAGCGAAATGCGGCTTAGGCTGTTCTGCAGTCGAAAGTTATGAACGAAAGGAGAAGTTTACAAAAATGATCTGAAAATTGCAAAATTGTGGCTTAGGCCATTCTGCTTCTGAGAGCCTCATATATATTTAAAAATAATCTCAAAATATGAAGAAAAGTCAGCTGACTATAACTAATAATGTTTATAAATGGTTTTCAACGTATTCCAGACAAAACAAATAATATTACAACAACCAAAATATTTATTAATAGTTGTAGTGCTTGCAAACGGTATGCCTGTCGACGTCACGGACTAGGAGATAAGTGGAACTACATTTTATTTTTATTACTTTGGGGTATGATTTTGGGGTAACATTTTGCTTACGACTGATACGTAGATGTATATATATTTCATTTTTTATAAGACGTTGAAATTCTATTATTAGGTATATCTCATGTTAGTTCATTTGCTGTTAAGGGCTCATGACGGTTTTTTGTTTAGTATAGTTCATATATTACATCATTAAGGGGATTGGGTGTTTCACCTTAAGATGACGTTAGTTTATTAAATTGATGGTACTGATAGTAATATTTTAGTTTATAGTGTTTATACGTATCGGAATATTTAAATCTGTTTATTCAGAAACTAAAGGACTTCTATGACCGTGAGGTATTAACAGATAATTTCACTGGTTCATTGAACCGACTCTGTTTAATTTCTGTACACGGCTAGGGCATTATATATTTTGTTAAGAATTTTGGGGTTAAGACAGGCCTTTATAAATATGTAGGTAGGATAATCAATTTATTTTTGATATCAAATACATTTCTCAGAGCCTTTATTAAAACAGGGATTGTAAAGGGTCATTACCTCGGGGTAAGGGGAAAGACAAAGCATTCCGATTTGTAAAATAAATAAACAAGATCTAAGTTAGGGTTCTTTTTATTTTCTATTTATTTGGTAGATTTAAAAGTAGGACTTTTCTGGATTTAAAGAGGATCAATATTATAGATCTACCTGGCATCCAACTCAACACCTAAAATTATATTTTTTTCCAGATTACAAAGTAATCACCCAATCCCATCTCCACTAGAGTGAACCGGAGCCACAAGGTTGACATCTGGGACAACCGAACTTATGTCAGGGTAATATCATGTTACATTTTGACGCCCAAATGTATATCAAAAAATAATAAAACACGTATATCTTATTTTTAAATAAATATTCAGTTCATACTTAATCTGCCATCTAATAGTAAATAGAGAAATTACGTTTGCTATTAGATTTCGACAACCATTCGATGGTTCGGTAGAAAACGACAACATTATCAAAGACATGACTTGGACACGATGGAGCTTGGTATTGCTATTAGTAATTTATACAATATAATTAACTAAAAAAAAAATTTAATTAGTCTTCCATCCTGGATTTGAACCCGAAACTTTCGCATGACAAATCAGTACTATACCCTCTGCACAAACTAGCCAACTAACCCTTATTATTTAATACTTATAAATAGACTATTGTTTTTTTTTTGTATCATGCTATTATTTATCGATTGTTCTCAAGAATCACTTATTTTAAATTATACGGGGTTGCGAAATAATCTGACAACAAGGTATTTTCTTTAAAACGAATGAATTTATAATTATACGAAATTTTAGGGGGATTAATGGGACTATTTATTAAACTATAATTTTTTTCTAATCCTATACATACGGGGTAGCGAAAAAGTCTGTTAACACGGTATTTTAGGTTGATGAATAGGACTGTATTACATTAATAATGTGATACTTTTTAGTATTATTAAAAAGAGAAATAATAAGCTTTTCTTTGATATATCGCTCGACCAAGGTGACTATTTAAAAAAATTCAAGATGGCGACGGTACGCTAAACGCTAACGTCACCTAAATTTTATATATCCTCTAAAAAATGCTGAATACAATCCCATTCTTCATCCTACAATTTTATAATTGTAATTCGTTTAAAGAAAAAGCCAGGGGGTTTATTCTTTAACTTTCAGCCGAAAACGTATAGCAACGAAAGCGCCAAGCGGATTTCACAACAAAGTTCGATTACCAAAACGACAAGCATGCGATTATGGTATTCTCTAATGCTAGACGCTTTTGCTATTCGCAAGTGATTTTCATTTTTGTCGTAATTATAAGTCGTAAATGTTGATTGGTCTACATAACTAAGGTTAGTATTTGAATGTCATTTTGACAATAATATAAATAATTAATTCATAAGCAACTTTCTAGGGCCCAAAAGCAAGCCCTACTGGAGTATATTGAGACCAATCCTAATACAATAAAAAAAATCTGATGTGTCCAACACATGACTTTCCTATCTAGTTATTGTAGGCTTTTTCCGGTTATTTTGTACAACCTATTGCAGCATCTCTATAAATTTTAGAGGATAAACTAAATATATACATTGTCCACATACATCTACCTCGAAACATTTTTCTATAGATATTCATTGAAAACGAAAATACTGAAAAATTTAAATTTAGCACTTTTCCATTACGGTCCATTTTATAAAAATCATGTATAAACAAAAATTATAGAGATCGATATCGCAAACAACTTTTAGTTCAACAATTTTCATAAAAATCAGAATTTTGCACATTTCAGGAAATTTTAACATTAAACAAAAATTATAGATAATAATATTAGAAGTAACTTTTATTTGAACAATTTTCTTCTCCAAACATAAATAACAGATATATTCCATAAAATATAAAAACGGCCTCCCATAAAGTACCCCCTAGATGTTCCGACTTTGTCCAAAATCTAATCATTTTACGTCAGGCCGAAATAAACCTTAAGTTTAAAATTTAATGATTTTTTCTTTATCCGCTTTTGAGTTTTCTTCAAAATTCGAAATTTACACATTTTCTCAAATATCTCGAATACGGTCCATTTAAAAAAAATTATGTATAGAATAAAAATTATAGAGAAATATATTACAAACAACTTTTATTTTAACAATTTTTATGAAAAAATATTTTTTTTACATTTTGTCAAATTTCTCGAATACGGACCATTTTAGGAAAATTTTGTAATGAATAAAAATTATAGATAATTATATTAGAAGTAACTTTTATTTAAAGAATTTTCTTATTCAAACGTAAATAACAGATATATTCTATAAAATATAAAAATGACCACCCATAAAGTACCCTCCCAGATGTTCCGACTCTGCCCAAAATCTAATCAGTTTATTAAACGCTAAAATAAAGCTTAAGTTTAAAATTTGGTGTTTCTCTGTGTATCGGTTCATGAGTTATGCGTTACACACACGCACGCACGCACGCACGCACGCACGCACGCACGCACGCACGCACGCACGCACGCACGCACGCACGCACGCACGCACGCACGCACGCACGCACGCACGCACGCACGCACGCACGCACGCACGCACGCACGCACGCACGCACGCACGCACGCACGCACGCACGCCCGCACGCACGCACGCACGCACGCACGCTCGCACGCACGCACGCACGCTCGCACGCACGCACGCACGCACGCACGCACGCACCCACGCACGCACCCACCCACCCACGCACCCACAGACACACACACACACACACACACACACACACACACACACACACATACACACACACACACACACACACACACACACACACACACACACACACACACACACACACACACACACACACACACACACACACACACACACACACACACACACACACACACACACACACACACACACCACACACACACACACACACACACACACACACACACACACACACACACACACACACACACACACACACACACACACACACACACACACACACACACACACACACACACACACACACACACACACACACACACACACACACACACACACACACACACACACACACACACACACACACATCATCGCGAAAATAGTCAAAACGGATTCAGGGGACCTCAAAACGTAAAAATCCATCGAAAACTCGAGGTCGAAAAAATCATGATTCCTATAATTTCCTTATATCTGTATACAGATAGGAAAGTAATAAAAAAACATAATAATCAGCATACAGGTGCTTACTCCAAAAAATGTGGAAGGACTTGACAGAGAAATTAAATGCTATCCCCGGAGTAATCAAAGACTGGAAAATTTGAAATGTGTGTATGTGTTACTGTAGGTAATAATAATAATTAATGGCAATATAAAAATAAATATATTGTATAAATAAATTATTATTAACATCTAACACTTGCAGCTAGAGAAAGTACAAGCTCATTTTTATTGGTTTTGATAATAACAAGATTAAAAAATATTATAAACGAACTTTTAGCTTCATAAATATTATGTATATAATATTACCTGTAGTCACGATATAACGACTTTAACGTAACCTCTGATTTTAGTCTTGGAATGACATCAAATCCAGAACCATAGCAAAAAATCTAGAAACAATTAATC